GGGGTTGGGGGGCAAAGGGGCAGCTCCCCTCCCCCCAAGGGGCTGACGGGGGGTTGTGTCCCCCCCCAACGGCGCGAAGGAGATGCTGACACAGCAGGGGGTCCCAGAGCTTTATTGGGGGGCAGCGGGGGCACCCCAGCACCCAGCACCCCGCCGCCCGGGACCACGGGGTGAGGGGAGATGGGGGGACCCCGTGGGCATGAGGACATGATGGGCAGGGGGACACGGGTGGGCACGGGGGTCATGGATGGACACGGGAGGTTCCAGGTGGCCATGGATGGTCATGGGTGGACATGTGAGGTTCCAGGTGGTCATGGATGGTTCCAGGTGGTCATGGATGGTCATGGGTAGGCACAGGAGGTTCCAGGTGGTCACGGATGGTCATGGGTGGACACGGGAGGTTCCAGGTGGTCATGGACGGTTCCAGGTGGTCATGGATGGTCATGGGTAGGCACAGGAGGTTCCAGGTGGTCACGGATGGTCATGGGTGGACACGGGAGGTTCCAGGTGGTCATGGACGGTTCCAGGTGGTCATGGATGGTCATGGGTAGGCACAGGACATTCCAGGTGGTCACGGATGGTCATGCGTGGGCACAGGAGGTTCCAGGTGGTCATGGGTGGTTCCAGGTGGCCATGGATGGTCATGGGTGGGCATGGGAGGTTCCAGGTGGACACGGGTGGTCATAGGTGGTCATGGACGGTTCCAGATGGTTCCAGGTGGCCACAGGACATTCCAGGTGGTCACGGATGGTCATGCGTGGGCACAGGAGGTTCCAGGTGGTCATGGATGGTCATGCAGGGGCACAGGAGATCCCAGGTGGACACGGGTGGTCATGGCTTCACACAGGTGGACATGGGTGTTCCTGGGTGGTGATGGGCACACGGTTGGCCACAGGAAGACGTAGGTGGTCCCAGGTGGTCACGTCTGGCTATGGATGGTCACAGCACCCAGGAGGACATGGGTGGTCTGGGGGGGTCACAGGAGGAGACGGGTGGTCCAGGGGGGTCACAGGAGGCTGTGGGTGGTCACGGGTGGCCACAGGTGGCCATGGCAGGAGATGGGTGCTGGGCGGTGACGGTGGCCTCAGTCGGAGTCGCTGCTGGAGGAGGAGGAGGAGGAGGAGGACGAAGAGCGCTGCAGGGGGACAGGACAGCCATGAGCACCCGGGGGGGGCCAGGGGTGACCCCCCCGTGTCCCCCCCACGTCCCCCCCTCACCTTGTGCCTCTTCTGAGCCTTCTTCATCCTCTTCTT